CCAATGGCCCACACACTCCCCTGGGCCAAGGCAGTCTCCCTCTCCAGGTGCCTGTTGTGGGACAAGGGATATTTAACACACTCACTGCCTTTCTCTAGGCTCCGTGAGGAGGGGAGAGCACCAGGTCAACTCAGCTATACGTTTCCCCAGCCGGAGCTGAGACTGGCATGGGACACAGCAGGTTTTGCTTGCTCCTGAGTCTATAGACATGTCTGGCACATCTGGGTTTGTTTTGGTGTTCAGGCCACTGCTTCTTCAGAGCTGGGTTGCTCATCAACTCGTGTGTCGGGCTGTATCTGTTATATAAAGATATATTACATTTTTAGAGGCTGGAGTGCAGAGGAGCATAGTCGTCATGAAAGAAGGGTTTGCATTGTTAATGGCTACAGATATCTATTATTTCAAATCAAAAGTAAAAACCCTAACAGGCAAGAAGTCAGTTCCTATTATGACACTAACAGGAGCCCACTTCACTCATAGAGCCCACAGGAAACTGAGAGGCTCCAGATTCTTCTCAGATAGAACTTTGTTCATCTTTGTAACAGTTCACAGTGTGGTACGAAGGAGGAAGAGAAAGGCGAGCAGTAGCAGTATTTGGCACTGATGGACCGCACCAGACTGCTTTCTGGGTGGATCCTCTCTTGAGGTGGAACTGGGGTGGTGCTGGGAGCAATGAACTGGTGAAGTGCAATGAATCTGAGTGCCTCTGAGAGACTGGGCTTCCTGCTCTGGGCTGTGCACCATACAAAGGCAGCTACTCAGCATTGGGTTGGGTCAGGGCAAAGCCATTTTATGGCAAAAACTGTGCACTAGGACACAAGTATTAAGCTTAGAGTCAGACATGGGATTATATGTCAGTTTTACAATAGAAGTATTACTGGCTTTTATGGTATTGCAGTAAGATCTATTTTGCTAAGGGTGAACTCAAGACATGAGGTGTCATAGACTGACTGCAATCTCAGTCAGACCCAGCATTGCAAATACCTTCAAAGACAAAAACAGATGCTCCCATTTTCCACTGGTTTGAAAGTGTTTGAATGGCAAACATGCCTTCTTAGGCAGCATTCTCCATTTACATGAGTGGCAAAATGCTGTCACAGCATTTGTTTCATCTGACATCATGGGTGAGTAGCTTATTGTGAAAACTAAGAAAACCTTTTACACTTTGCTCTACTATTTAGATGTGAGTTTAACCAGGAAATGCAGAAACTTGCATTAAGGCCTCAGGGCAACAGGTGAGATTGCAAGAGGTGAAGTATCCTTTGGCCGAAGGACAAATCCTGTGAAATCTGTCTCTGCACAGTTTATATACACTGTCTACTGATTCAGCAGACCTAGAAAGCCACCAATTTCTTTGAGGTTGCAAGCTCCAGGCTGATTATAGTTCTTACTCTGTTGGGCAGAAATTCCAACAGCAAACAAACTTTTATTATCCACTATCCATATTCCACTGTTTAAATAGTTCATTGCTACCCAGGACAAACCAGTTTTTCAAGTCCAGACCTGAACATATGACGAGTTATACAGTGAATCATCTGATACGGGGCTTTGGTCACAGCATGACTGTAGAGAGGCACCTCAGAAGGGCAAATGGGGGTTGAAAAAAAAAAGTATAAGTCTCAAAGTGAGGAAAGGCTTGGAGGAGAAGGAAGATAAAAGCATTACAAACCCAATCGTAGCTGCTTGGCAAGTGTCAAAGGAGAGATTCTTTACTTTAGGTTCATTACAGGTACATTGGCTTTTTTTTTTTTTTTGGCCAAAATGAACTTCTTGCTCCCTGATTTCTCGTATGACACAGCATGTTGTCATAGCTCTCCTGTGTTGGTGGGAGCTGCATGTGCTGCGTCAGAGGCTCCCGCCCTGTGCTGCACCCAGGCTGCACCCTGATAATCCTCCCCTTCTAAGCTGTAAGGAGAAGCAGTGAGTGAAGGGGTTTTACAACATCTTTACTGGGAGAAGCTTTTAAGAAGTTTGTGGCACAGGCTCTGCTATTGGTAGGGCATAGCTAATCATCTAAACAGTCAGCGGAGGGGTAATGGGAGCAATTTCACATGCAGCCAAATAGAGGCAGAAGTTCTCATGCCGTTGCTATAATTCATAAGTCTCTGCAATTATCTTCATGACCTTCATAGTTGTAGGTACAACTGCAAACATAATCTGTGCCATAATTGTGGCTTTCCCCCATTCCAAGACATATAAAAAAGCACTATGTAGCCAGGAAATAAGAAATCATCAACTCATACAGAAGATTAAACCTGAAAATCTGTCAGTTAATGGAAACTGCTCATTTGCTTTTAATCTTAGATGACATATTTTTACTTTGGATACATTAAATATAGATATGAAACATGTAGAAACTGTAGTAAATCCAGATACTGAATTTCTATTCAGCAGCCATATTTTGCATGTTGAAAACCCTCAAGAAAATGTATTTAACTCTGACATTATTTTCTATCTGCTTAGAAAAGGTGTACCTATCAGGTCCTAGGAAAGTCTATTTTTCCTTTATCCAAAGAGATCTGTAAACATATGAAATGCAGGTAGATTCTTCAAAGTTTCGGGAAAACTGGTATCTTACCAGAACTTCCTTGTGGTTAATGTTCAATAGACACATTTTTTTAAAAGAAAAAGTAAGAAAAATCCCAGAAGTTCTGGCAAATTTCTTCAACATCCACAGCCATGAGTATAAAATTGTAATGAAAACAGGTTTCTCATCTAAATCATATCTATCTTTAGCTGTTTAAGTTTCCAAGACTGAATGAGAAACTCAGCTGTGCTGGCCTTACAGCTCCTGAGGATGGAGGCTGGGGAAAGGTAGAGAGGTGCTGTGGAGCTCTCTGCTCCCAGGCAGGCCTGAGGTCCCCCAACAGCCCAGGACTTCTTACCACCCTGGGAGTCACTCTGGGGCATTGCTTGGCACAGACCCCTGCCTGCCCAAGGAGTCCTGTGAAGAAAAGCAGGGAGGAGAAGACAGAGCAGGCCCCCTGTGCGTGAAAGGTCCTTGCACATCGGCCTTTTCTGAAGAGCCGCTGTGTGAGCGCTCACACTTGCTTCCCACATTATTACTGCCCTAGCACAGTTTCCCTCAGACATCTCTGACTCCATGCCTGGGCTGAGCATCTCACAGACCACAGTGCTCAAACACTCTTTGATGAGTGTCTATTGTGTGTGAAGATTTATAACTGTGTAGTTTTTGGTACAAAATGCTGTTTCCTAACTCTGCTTATAATAAACTTATTTTACTGCAATTGCATGATCTGATTGCAGGCTTATCTCTTCCAATCCTGTGTCATCTGTGATTCTCTTATTAGCCTTCATGGTCCTTTTCATATAATTTTATATGGCCCTTTAAACTTTTCTCATGATTCATCTGTGGCTATGGCATCCCTCCATAAAGACACCCACATTTCTCAACTTACTCATTTGTTGAGTGCTTTAGATCTAAACCATACCACACAGTTGTTTCTCCCAATCCTTACAAAATCTGTATTTCATGAGCTCAATTATTTTTAGGAACATTCTCAGATTCAGGGTGGATATTGTGAAATAACCTAGTCAGACAACTGATCTCCTGGAGTTAGAAAAAAGAGTATTGCTCCAGAGAGGAGCCCAGAATGCCATAGGCACATATAGACCCACTCACAGAAATGGGAATTGTTGTATATTTTTAGATATAATTAATTAGTGAAAGTGAGTGGAGAGATTATAACATTGCACCCTCACTAAAAGCTGATTTAGAAAGCAGCTAGAGGAAGTTGCTTTCAATGTAGAGTAGATTTCTGTGTGTGCATATCTTACAAAAGCCACACTCTAAGTTACATCTTTTTGTCACCATCTACAGGTGTGTTATATACTAACACTTTTCTTTTTTTTTTTCAAATATAGACAGCAGAATTGAAGAATGTTAACTGACAGTGAAGACCAGAAAATGGGCTTGGGCCAAGGGGGCTTCATAAATCAATCCAGTCTAGCATGTTCTTAATCTCTCACATTTTAATCCTGTGCACTCACCTAAAAAATAAAGCTTCTTTTTTTTATGATGAACTCAGGGCAACCTGTGTCTGACCCTCATCCCTCCAAGAACTGCTGTAGGGGACTTCTCCAGAAAATGGGTGAATAGAAAAAAACAGAGCAATGATACCTTTATTTTCCCCTCAGGATTCCTAGTTTGAGGAACACAAAAGAAAACAAAAAAGACATAAAACAAAATTAATGAAATAGGTTTATTGCCTTGCCTTCTGGGACAAATCTAGCTTCTGTTGCTGAGAAGTATCCTGCATCTGATGCCAGAACCATGATTGCTCTGCTGGGGTTCACAACACTTTGAGAAACCTGCACTGCAGGACATCTTGTGCCTCACAATGCTCAGGTTCACAAGGTCCTGGTTTGGTGACGAAGAGGAAAAGAATCTGAAGTAGACACTAAGAGGGACAAAATGGTGGCAGATCCCTTACCTCTCCTCTACTGGGACAACACCAACACATCACTTTATCCCAGCTGAAGGTCTGAAGTGGGAGGGTGAACATGACTGAACGAGTGTTAGCCGTGACCAGGAGACAATGAAAGAGTAAACCCTGTAACTTAAAATGAAATTATTCCCACCTCTTAAAAGCAGGTCTGTAAAACAGTCTTATGCTCACTTCCCTTTCTCTTGAAACTATGACCTTTGCTGCATGCTCTATTTACTTTTGAGGCGCAGGACAAGACTAACAGGACTGTAGAAAAGTACAAATCACAAAGATGTAAAAAAAGTCTCGAGCCTCAGTGATAACACCTGGTAGTGCTTCTCCAACGCTCTGGTTAATTTTTACCTGTGGTACTGGAACTATGTAAATAATTGTCAACGCCTTAGCCACAATTTTTGCTTTCAGTAGCAGAGCATGCTGGTTTTGATGTAGTTTGAGACATTTTCTGGAGCCACAGGACCAACTTTTATATCGAGGTCAAGCTCTTAGGAAAGCTTCTTCTGCAGTGCTCAGTTTTGTTCCAGCTCATTGAAAATGGCGGGTGTAAGCAGCTGCATGAAGTACCTTATGTTCATCTTCAACTTCTTATTTTGGGTAAGTTGGTGTTTAAATTGTTATTAGTGATGCATGAAATGTGTTCAACATTATCTAAATGATATAGTTGAAGGAATTGCAAAGAAAATAGAGCATAAGTGGAAGCAGAGTACAATTCTAAATCAGGAAGGGGAGAATATGTTTTTAGCTTCCCCCTCCTCCTTGTCTTTTTCCTTAAATAACTTTCCCTCCACATTCAAAAGTAGACCAGCCAAGAGTTTGTTTCTTTGCCCACATCATGTCCATTATGTCAAGGGACATCACTTTTTCAGTCAGAAGATAACAGACTCTCCACTTATAATGCATTGTTATTTTGCTTTTTTGTTTGTCTGCTGCTTGCATCTGAACAGCATAATCCTGAAAATGTAGTCGCAAGAGAAGATATGGAAAATTCACTTGTATTTTTAGCCTTCTAATTGATAAATGGTTTTCATATCCTTCTTTGTGGTTCTTTGCTTTACATTCAGTGTCATAATTAGTTTCAGATGGTGGACAGTAAATGTTTGTAAAATGGCATGGACTGGCAGCACTGCCAATAGCAGTGCCAAGGGTACACAGTGCACAGGGCAGCAGGGAGGTTTCTGAATGTCTCTTCAACTGTATTTGTCTATTTATCACATCTATGCTGTTTTACAAGAATTTCAGGTCCTGGAAACTCTGAAAAGGTTTGAGTTAAAGGACATTTGTCTTATGGTTCAACTTCACTGTCAGCTTTCCCAACAAGAGATTTGTTAGGTTCACCAGAGGTTCACTGAAACCAGAAACGGAACTACTATCCACATTATGGGCTTTGCCTCAAGGGATTTTTTTTCGAGCGTAAAGGTGATGCATTCAAAAGGGACCACAAACAGTAGCCTTGGAAAATTTGTGGCTAGCCAAAATGAGAAGAATTAGCAAAATTCTTTGATCGCTTGTGGACCTCACAAAAAATTCCTAACAGGCCAGTGATGGTTTGAGTTGCCTTCCCCCTCTTCTTCCTCCACCTCCGTCAGGGCAGATTGAAGATATTTGACATCTGTGTTGAAGTTTTTCTGCAAAAGTACTTATAAGTTTTTGATCTGGAATTCCCACCCCTCAGGGAGGTTTTCCTCTTTCCATTCATCTGTATTTACTGTAAGATAAAACATAGACAAATGTCTCAGACAGGCATTAGAAAAGTTCCAAAGTACTTCTAGAACAAATATGTGGTGTTGATAGGGCTAGGACAAAGGTTGAACTCGATGATCTTGAAGGTCTCATCCAACCAAAACTGCTCTATGAATCTGTGATTCTGCGTGAATAATGTCCAACGCCTAAGCCTCCAGTGATAGTGTGGACTTCCTAGGGAAAAACACAGAATGTGATCCTCAGGGAATCTTAAAAGCTCAGGACACAAGTAGGCAGGCAACAAACTTCCCAAATCTATCTTTATCCCAAAAGCAGGAAGATCTGCACTCTATTCTTGAAAAGAATACGGTGTGAACAGGAATATGGGCTGATGGAGTAAAGTGAAGCTCAATTCTTTGATTCACATTCCTGTCTCTAATTCCTGGAAATCATTAAATTCCAGTAGTAAAGCAAAGGGAACAGTGGTGTCTCTACAGTCACTGGTCCCCCAGATGCTCTCCCTGGTGCACAAGGCAGTTGGCAAGTGGATAGTTAAACTGATAGTGGAAAATGAAGGTGATTTTAACTAGATAAGAGCCACGGCTGCATATTTACCTGCTGTCCTTTCCTTTTAAGCCCGTTACAATCTCCCTGAGAGTGTCTCCTCTTAGAAGGCTCAGGAAAGACAGCATTCTGTTGACTCTTTCTAAGCAGCTCTCACAGCACAGCACTAAGTCTGTAAGCCCTGGAATAGTTTAAGCTACTTTTGTAAAGTGGCTCTGGCTTCACTACATGACGTGTGCCCCTCCCCAGTATCTACAGTCCTGTAAGGCACATGCTGGGCTCCAATGTGTCTGTAGAGTTTTGCATCCTCCCAGTTTGGTGAAAGAAAGCTGAGCATGGGTTTTTGAAGGCCTGTGCTCTGGAGCTGCGTGCCTATATGAGGGTTTTAATAGTCCTTAAATTAATCATTAAGTCAGTTTTTTGCCTTAAACCTGACAAGTAGGTTAGATTTTTCCTCTTTCACTTCTTCTGTCTACTCTCACCTGCTGTCCTCATTCTGTCAATTTCTGCTATTCCACATCATACAAAATTGTAGAATTACCATATTTTTGGCACCAAATATTGATGTTTGATCCAAGTTTGAGGCAACCTGATTAGTGATAGAACAACCTTCGTCCAGTTGTTGATAGCAGACTTTGCAGTCCTGTCTACAACCAATGTAGACCCTTCTCCATACCTTAACATTCAAACATCTCAATCCCTGAAACTAGCAACACAAGTAGACAGATATGCTGAGCTGTGGACCATATTCTCTGTAGGACCTTCCTAGCACTGTTAATTTCAGGTATCTCAAAGAAGTATTCCAGTCAAGAGTTTTCCTGAACAGAAGTAACCTTGTAGAATGCTGTTACACACTTAAAAAGTGTGTAAGAGTGGAGGGAATTCCCCAAAGTTTTGCTGTTCCTGTGTCTGAGAAGTGCAGAGTCTTGATATGCTGTTGGTCCAGAGTCCCAGTAGGCTCATCTGAGGCGATACTAATTTAACTAGGCTGTATTTCTTTATTACACCAAGACCAAAGGTCTTGAGAAGAGAAGGACCAATAGAATTTGAGGAACAGCAATCCTGTCCCTGGTCAGTTTATGAGCCTTTTCAAAGAAGCTCTTTTTATTCCATTTGAAAATACTGGTTCATTAGGAATGAAATTTCCTGAAATCAAAGTTTCTTCAGTCAAAACTTTATTTTAAGAAAACTTAGTAATAAGGATGGAGTATTGCAGCAAACTTCAAATGTTCGACTTGGACTCTTTGGGAACAGATTATCTTGATTTGTTATTTCAAAACTTTGCTTTGTGTGTTCTTGTACACTTTGTATGTTACAAAAAAAGAGACAAGACTTTAAGATTTTACTGAAATAAGTAGTTTCTATCTGCCTAAGACAACTCTATTTTTATGATTGAAATACATACACCTTACTAAAAATTTTGGTATATAAATAAAGTTTCTTTTTGTGAAAGGAATAATAAATATTGTAGCATTCCCATTTGATTGATATGTTCCTGTACATGCAGTTATATTTACTTCGACTACTGTGCTGTATTTTTATGGGAGCTCCTATATAACAAGGCACTGGCCGAATTCTGTTTGGATTTGTAGCAATAACTGCTTCAGTGGAAATTTTCATGGTAGTGAGCCGATATTGCCTGGTGCATAGCCACATGGCTGACATAGTGCTGCTGAACAAGACCCAAATATAGAGTCATATGATACCATCAGTTTCTAGGCAGATTCAGTGGGATTCAGAAGGTTTCAATGGGGAGTTCTAGTTAAATTTGATAACATGATATAGCTGTCATCAGTCGTACAACTTTCCTTTTCATGTTCAAAATGTACTTATAGAAGCTTTACATAGAGCAGGAAAATGTGTGGTACTCATGTCTGAGTACTGGCTCTGTTCCATATTAAATAATCTGCTAAAGTCATTACGGTCTTTGATGCTGAATATTATATGAAACATTTTGAGGGGAAAGTATTTTTTAAGAAAAAAAAATCTAAAACATATAAAAATAGCTCTTTTAATTTTAAAAGGTTAGAAATAGCCCCAGACTTCATGGGAAGCTCATAATAACATTTCATTACTTGAGTATTAATGACGTACAGGAGGATAACTCTAAATCTTACTAGTCTCTGGTTTTCAGTGATCTCTTTCCTACCAGTTGTCTCAGTAGGCACCTTACAAGCAGCTTAATTACATGTCTACAACACTTAATAAAGAGAAATTCTGCTCAAGAATCATCAAGGACAAAGTTAGGAATAGAGTGACAAGCGCATAGTGGAATGGTACCTCAATGATCGATGAAACAGGAGTACAACTAGTGATTAGGACATGTCTCTGGACCTGAGGTTCAGCTGCCCTGACTTCAGCATTTTAAAGCAAGTCATCCCAGTCTAACTTCTTTCACATGTACACGACCAAGCATAGTTGTTTTCTGTAAAAACTGTAATGGAAATAATAACTATAGGTGTTCTATAGGAGGAGTATTCTGAGGACTAGAGGTGTCCAGATATTGTTGCAATAGAAACAGCAGAAAGACTTTATTTAGAACTTTTCCTGATAGTTTTACCCTAAAGAATATGTCTCTAGATATGTGCCCTGAATAATTCTAGAAACATTTATACAAACATCCCTTATCAAATCTCACATGTTTTCACTATACAAGGAACAATGTCCTCTACAGTCATGTTATATACATATAATAGAAATTTATATTCCTCTCTAATCTGACAGAATTTCTGTGTGCTTCCCAACCACATGTATAAATCATCAAGGAAATGTGGAGTCTCTGGGGTAGAAACATCAGAGACTTGGTGCATAACTGAAGATTTAACTACCCTTATGAAGTTTCCTGGATATGAATCAATATTCTATGCTCCAGCAATTCATGTTTCTTTCACTTTGCCAAACAAATGATTTCAGAATTTTGGCCAACATCTGGTGCAATTTGGATGCTGAATGTTAATCTAAAATTGCTGATGTTTCTAAATATTTTTTGTTTCTTCCTGCAGCTGTGTGGTTCCATTATTCTGGGAGTCTCTATATGGATACGTGTTAGCAAAGATGCTCAACAGGTAAGTGTATGCAATCATACTAGAGCCATATAAAGTGTTCAAAAACTGTCTACAATTTAATTTACCATCTTCATTTCCACAAATTTGTTATGTCTTTGCTGAGGTGGCTTTTGAGGGTATAGATTAATGCATTTTATGGTGTTTAATATTAAACATGGTGGTGCAGGTAGTAAGATTGACATATGTACAAATTGATGAAGCACAGATTGATGTAAGAACAAACGTGTGAGTATAGAAGTGTCTTCTGGTGTTATTAATGTAGGTTCTTGCAGATGCACACTGATTTCTCTTGGAAAACATGTCTCTTTCTCCTCTAATGAAAACTGATGATGATTTTGTTATTGATTTCATTGTTAGAGAGAATCATAAGGAGCCATGTAGCTCTTCAATTTTTAATGTCTTTCCCAAGTATAGTCTCATATATTCCTAGGCAACTTCCATATGTTTATATGGAGTACTTTTACCTTCCTTAGTGCCTTCAATAACACAATTCTTATTTCCTCACTAACTGCGTCTTTGAAAGGAAGTAAGGATTTTTCCCTTCTATTTCCAGTGGCTCCTTAAAACCATCCTGTGCTTTTCCCCTCATATTTGCTTAGGAAAAGTTTTAGAGACCCAAAAATCTTTACTTAGGATTAAAATGTCGTAACATCTCTCCTAGAGGGCAAAAGAAAGCCCCTGAGTTCCCCTCCTGGCTTTTATCTGGGTTATTAAATTATGTCAGACTCTGTGATTTCCCTTTCTGCCAAGCTAAGGAAAACACAATTTCAAGGAGCCCTTGCTCTTGCAGACATGCTGCAGAGGCTGGTCCTGTTGGTGCAAAGGCTATTTGGCCCTGTGAGCCCTGTCAACATTTTGCCAAGCATGCTCCCAGCAGCACTGAGCTCGGATGTGCAACATGTTTTCTGCCACCCATGAGCAAAGCTGACTTCACAGCTCACAGCTGCTTCTCAAAAAAAGGGCCTGTGCAACTATTGCATGTTGGTGCTTTGTTATACTAACACAAAGACCGAACTGACTCTAAGGTTTAAGCAGCTTATTGCTGCTTGTAAATTTGGGCCATAGAAATGCAAAAGAATTTGAAAATTTAATTCGCACACCCCTATTTCCCAAAAGGGTTTCTGGCCATAGAAGTGAAAAAAGGGCCAAGTGTGACGGGGAAGCATTTTTTCAGGTTTCAGATTAAGCCATTAGTATAGATTGAGTTGTAAATCTTCAAATCACTCCTTTGCAGCTCTACTGCAGTCTGTCATTTAAGAATAATAATTTATAAGACAGTATTTTCCCATCTGAAAATAAAAAGATGATGGAGATAAGATATCTTTACCTATTTCCTGCCGCTTGGCTGATGACACTGTTGGTCTTAGCTAGTCCCAGTTGTGTCATGTCTGGCAGAGGACGGATGCAACAGAGCTCAATTCATGACGACCATTGTGCCATGGGGCAAATTAGATCATGGGGGAAAGCTCTGCTGTCCTCTGCTGTGGAGGAGGAAGAATGACAATTTCACTCCACAATCAACATTTTACAAGATATTAAAATTGCCATACTTGCTAGCTGACCATCTCTAGTATGATGGCTCAGATAGTACAGTGGAGCTTGGAAAACCAGAACCACTATTAACCTTTCTTATTTTTTGAGAGATTTCCTATTCAGAAAAACATACTTAAGTGTGTCCCAAACTGGCTTCCAGAAGTGACACTTAGTACCCCCAAAAAACTGTGAATTAAGAGTAGAGACCAAAACCGAAAGCATTTTCTCACATTTTTGCCTCTGGGAAGGCGAAGTTCCCATTCAAAACCAATATATGTTTTGCCTGAGTAGTAACTGAACAGACCATAAGGATTTGGCTGTAGATGAATAGAGCTTTCTAAGAATAAATAACAGGAGATTCAGTCCAACTTGGAAGAAAAAAGAACAACACATTCTTCAAATTATACTTGTCTATATACCTTTGCAATTTCCATCAGAAGATATATGTGACAACTTCCAGACATTTTTGCTAATCTTGGCACCAGCCATACTGGAAAATATTCTTTGAACATTTTTCTCTATTTTGGCCTTTGGCCTTAGTCAGTCTTGTGGGAAGTGAATAATTTGATATTTAATAATATTGAGGTATACGAATTGTTTAGTTGAATGTCTCACACATCAAAATACAGTCCTCATCTCTGAGGGTAATATTAGAGATCATGCCTAAAAAAAAGAAAAAGAAAGCTGCTTTGGAAAATACATCTAACATTGCTCTAGTATATCCAGCTCTGAGAAGTGTTCTCTCAGGAACAGCCACAGAGTATGTTCCTGGCCTGCTAATGACAAACAGAGGTTTTGTTTCTTTAACATTTGGTTAATGTAGGAGAGATTTTGAGATAATCAATTTTGCTACTTCCAGTAAAAAGCAAAGATTCATTGACTGAAAAATAACTGAAAGCCACTTAAAAGACATGAGATCCTTATTTACTCTGTAAAGTTGACTTTCATCTTGTGCAAAGACTGTGAAGAGACAGGTTCAACCACACTCCCCAGCAAAACATTTATGAAGGTGGCATTAGAGGCTTGTTTATTTATGGATCAGAATTTCTCTATGGTTACTAATCAGTATATTTATCAGTTATAAAGTAATTCTCTAGTTTAAAGGGATACAGTTGTTTTTAGGAGGAGCTTCTTGTAACTGAAAGATTTTTTTCCCCTCTCTTTTCAGAAGTTGGATATAGACAGCAGCTTCTTTGCAGGGGTCGATCTGCTGATAGCTGTGGGCTCCATCATCATGATCCTTGGTTTTCTGGGATGCTGTGGTGCCATAAGGGAAAGTGGTTGCATGCTGCTGTTGGTAAGAAAGAAAATAATTGGGCTACCTTTAACAGGGCACAGCTAGATTTGATGGATAAAATCCTTGCAAGTAATATCAAATGAAGATGAGGGCCTTTGTGTTTAGCCAAATGTTTCATTATGATCATGTGTTTTCATTGCTTGCATTTAGTCTCATCAATGAGAAGACAGGGTTGAAAGCGTCCTGTGAAGTTCCCTCCACCAGTCCTCCCCCACTAACTATCCTATTTAATTTTGTAAATTCAGTTACCTGCATTACTTGTTCTCCTAGAATGCTCTCCCGGTCCTCCTGCCCAAACGATCTCACCTGCACACTGCCCATCATGTCACTACTCCAGTGCGCACCTCGTTTTGATCACTAGCTGATCACGCTGTTCTCACGCACTCTCTATTCTCAACACCAAAGAATGAATAATTGGAGCGTCTCTGACGCAGTTCATTCTACCTACATGTTTATGCAAGCACACTTGAAAGCTTCACTTAGAAGAAATTTTATCACCTCCGTCAAAAGTCCTATAATTTTCTCTCCATTTTGCTTTCTTCTTAGTTTTTTATTGGATTGCTTCTGATCCTGATCCTTCAGGTCACAGGAGGTATTTTAGGAGCAGTGTACAGATCTAAGGTACAGTACTATTCTGCATTTTCACTGATGTCTTCCTAGAGTTTTGCTTCTACCCCAAAAACTAATAAAATATTTGGACTTGCAGATTGAAACAGCCTTTGATGAGACTGTCCAGGAGAATGTGAAGTTGTTGCAAGGTTCTACACAAGAATCTAAAGAGTTTCAAGAGAATTTCCAGAAGTTCCAGCAAATGGTAATTAAAATGTAACAATGGGCGGGGATTACTGCTGTCTGTTCCATTGCTAGCATTTGCCTGTTCTTCCATTTATGTCTCATCTGCCACAGATTTGGGGAAGGGTCTGACTTAAATCCAAGTTAAAACACTACACAAGGGGCTTCTGCTCTGTTGCTTTCAGATTTCTTTGTGCACTGGTGTTTAAAAGAGCAAGGACACACACTATACAAATGAGATTGACAGTCAGCTAAGCTCTCTCCCAGGAAGGCTCCCTGCTCCTTTGTTACAGCTTTCCCTTCTGGAGTCACTTTGCTCCCTCACTGTATCCACATAAGAACTACCCAGGACTCTTGAAGTTAACATTATCCCAGGGATAAGGAAACCTTCAGGAGTGTATTTCATTTGGAATATCCTACTGCTATGAAGTCATTAAATGCCATACTTTACTGTGTAACAAGGGGAAAGAAAATAAGACAAAGGGGGGATTTGTTTCCACTGTACTTCTACCTATCGTGCCTTCACCAACCCACAGAACCATGGAAGGTGGACATTTAGTGCCAGGTTACTACTGGGTATCACACAGAGGGTGTATTATGATATCTCACTGATATCATTGCTGAGGTAAACCCCTGCCCTTCCCACTAGTACCTGTGTTTATACATTGACAGAGTACCTGCTGATATTTTTTTTTAGTCCCTAATGGGTGATGACTTTGATGGGTAGGCTTAAAGAATTCCTATGATTTTAAAGGCTGCTGGTGTGAAATAAAGGAAAACAAGAAATGATATTTGGGTGGCTGCTATTACTTTCACTTCTTCTTTCCCATTCCACCTGCAGCCTTGTCCTCTGCTTCTGAGTTAGCTTATTTCTTCTGATATAATAAGCATCTCCCTGGAGAGATGATTGAAGGGTGAGCAAAATGAAAAATCCCATAATTACCATATTAATTTTTAAATAGACCACGATTGCTTTATTATGTCCCACAGCCTTTGCTTTTATGCAATTACGTGAACACTTCCAGCTGCTTTTTAAAAGAGGGAGGACCTCAAATGCAGGTCTGCACCCCTGAGCTTTAGTGGCTTGAATAAAGTAGAACATGAAGTGAAACCGCACCTGGTTTAGGTTTCACAAACCCCAAATGGACCCCTGGCTTCCTCAGTCCATTCCTAATTTAAATTAATAACCATCATTCAAGGTGGTTATTTTTCTAGAATTTGAAGTTTCATGTGCCCAATTTTTACATTTTCAGCCTGCCTTTTCAAGAAGTGAAATGGGGATGTTACTTGAGCTCCTACTTTCTGCAACTATAACCTGCAGAAAGAAGACTTGATTCTCAAAAAATACTATACCCAACATTGTTCCATGTACCAGTTCCACTCTGGCACTGACAATTACTAGCTTTATAGTATGTTAAAGATTTTTGAGCACTGTATACTGAAACTCTGGTCATTTTTCCCTCTTTTTTTTTTTTTAACTTCTCTTGGACTTGTGCACTTATATTCCTATAACTGGTATGAAAATGTAAAGAGTATTTGGGACATATCAAATTGGGACAACTTTTGCATGGGAAAAGATGAAAGGAAAATTCTCCTTCATTGTTCCTCTCAGCCCCTTCGCGTACCCTCCTCAAGCTGTAAATCATTTTTTTCTCCTCATTCTCATTTCCTCATTTCTTGAAGAACCATTGCTGCGGTTTGCTGAAAGGACCTGCAGACTGGGGAACAAATTTTAACAACAATAAAATCTGTGAGTGTGAGCTAAAGGACCCATCGGCAGACGTCTGCACCTACTATCAGGGCAGATACATTTATAAAAAGGTAAGAAAAATATAATGTCCCACTCTTCTTCTCCAAAATAGGTTTTAACCCAAGGTTGTCTTTGGTGACTGGTGTAGTCAGCAGCTCTGCGTCTTTCCAAAAAGGCAAAGTTTTGCCTTCTCTTCATTAGCCAGAACTGCCCCTGTGCCATCTACTATGACTCTACTGTGCGTATATAAAATATGCTACTGCTTCCTCATCTTGGGATGCCTCTGTTTTAGCTGCACAGTGCAGTACCCTTAGGACCTCCGCAGTCTGTGTGGTTACTATGGGTGAAGCTATTATGGCCTTGGGGTCAGGATATGCCTCTGGGTCAGAGCAGCACATCAGCCACCCTTTAGCTCTCATTCCTCCCTCAGAAGGTTCATTCCCTCCCCAGGTTCATTCTGGTGGAAGATATGTTGACTCAGAGGCTTTCAAAGGGATACTAGAAAATGAACATTTTAAATGCAAGATCTTTGGGATTTTATACTCCTTTAACTGAAAATAACCCAAAACACTCATTTTGCAGGACCTACTGGAAAGAAACATTACGTGTTGTAGGCTTCGTGGCAGCACACTCAAAGTGTAATTTCCTACAACTAGAGCCTTTTGAAAATCTTGTTGCAATTAATACAAAAATAAGGCAAAAACATCTGGTGATAAGAAGCAAGACAGTATATTAAAAAATTGGTAGATAGGCAGCAGAGATCTCAATTAATTAATTTCAAGATTTATCTGTCTCATATGGACATTTGGAGTGTGCACATTCAAAGAAAAATATGAATAAAAGTGGAAAACTGGCACAAAATAGTTGCATTTTTAGGATGCACTAATCTACATCTAGCACAAAGCACTGTACACTTTTCTAAACGCGCAGCTCCTTAGCAGGTTCTGCCTGAACACTAATTTCCTCTCTGTGTAGTCCCACAGAAGCAAATACTGTTTTAAAGAACGGGAAGAGTCTGGATAAGTAGAGGATGCCAGAACCCAATCTGGAAATAAGATGTATACAAAGAGGCTCTTTTGGCCACATTTTAATGTCTTTTTGGCCTCAGGCAAACCCTCAAAGGATGCATGAGAAGCCATCAGTGAAATTACTGCAGGTGCAAGATATCGCTCACATGAACACACAGATTTCATGGTGATGTCAGATGCTAGCAAAGGCATTCAACTCTTGTGATCCAGGAAAAAAAAAAAGTTTTGAAATTCAGTGCAGTTCTGAATCGACTTAAATGAGAGGTTATTTAGAAGGACAAGAAGGAGAAGACCCGTGTGTTTAGTGTGAGGGAGGAAATACGGTGAAAGAACATAACTATATTTGGGGGGAAAGCAGTTGTAGTATTGGAAAAGTATTGTAGTTTTGATGGATTTAAGTCATACTTGGCTTCTCCTACAGTTTGCTAAAGGAGTATTGTCAATGCTGGGAGAAGTTGTAGTCCTTATGAGAACAGATGTATGTATTTATTAAAAAGGAGAGTAACTCTGCATAGAACTTTAGATATGATGACTCTTCCTGCCCCAGTTCCAGCCCGCCAAACATTTGTCAAAATTCATTTTTAAGCTATGTTCTACATCCCAATATCATTAGCTGGGCCTGATTCTAATAATAAGCTTTGAAGTTTCAAATCCAGAGCTCAGATTAGTGGGAAACCAAAGTTCTCTGTCAGATCTGGTCATGACTGCATTGGGTCTTTCTTAGCAGTGATTGATTATTGTGTGAAAGTAAGAATAAATATTTTTTTTCCTTGTCCACTGAAAGTCATGTAAACATTAGGCATTACAGCTGTATGTCTTTGTTTGAAATCGTACTCTTTTATGGTCAGCTACTAAATTCATCTTCATGTTTGGGAAGGCAAAAGCTAGATATCTTTCTCAGTGCACAAGGTATATATAGCTGTGTCATTTCTGTTTGTTAGCCACAAGCCTGTGTAAATTCAAATAGCCTGTCTTTAACACAGAGAGAAAGAGGAAGAGGGTGAGAGGAGTTATTTTAGCATCATAGAATCATTCAGGTTGGAAAAGACACCTGGGTTCATCAAGTCCAACCAATAACCCTGCTCTACAGTGCTCACCCCTAAACCGTATCCCCTGACACCACATCTAAAGACATTCAGGGATGGTGACTCGGCCATCTCCCTGGGCAGCCTATTCCAATGTCTGTCTACTCATTCTGTGAAATTTTTTTTCCTAATGTCCAGTCTAAACTTACTCTATTGCAGTTTGAAGCCATTCTGTCCTGTTCAATTGTTAACTATCTGTGAGACCAGCACCAACCTCTCTACGAGGTTCTCTCAGGTAATTGTAGAGAGTGATGAGGTCTCCCCTTAGCATCTTCTTCTTCAAAATAAACAGCCCCAGCTCCTTCAGTCACTCTTCCTAAGATTTACTCTCCAGGCCCTTCACCAGCATCGTTGCCCTCTTCTGCACTTTCTCCAGCACCTCGACATCCCTCTTGTATTGAGGTGCCCAAAACTGGACACAATACTCAAGGTGCGGCCTCACCAGTGCCGAGTACAGGGGGACAATCACCTCCCTCCTGCTGCTGGTCACACTGTTTCTAATACAAGCCAGGATGCCGTTGGCTGCCTTGGCCACCTGGGCACACTGCTGGCTCATATTCAGCCACTTGTCGATTAGAACTCCTGGGTCCCTTTCTGCCAGGCAGCTTTCCTGCCACACTTCCCCAAGACTGCAGCATTGCATAGGGTTGTTTTGGCCCAAGTGCAGGATCTGTCACTTGGCCTTGTTGAAGCTCATCCCATTAACCTTGGCCCATCGATGCAATCTATCCAAGTCCCTCCGTAGAGCCTCCCTATCCTTGTGCAGATCAACACTCAGAGGATCAACATTTAGAGGATGCATTCCCAATAACTTTAGAATAATGTTGCTTACTTGTAATTAATCCTTCTATCTTATTTTTCAGACTTGTGGAGATGTGATTGTCAAATACCTTAAAGACCACCTGCTCATAGTCATGGGGATTGCCTTTGGACTGGCCGTTATTGAGGTACCAGTATACACCATTAAAGTATTTAGTAGCTGGCAAGCAATATGTTCTACTTAGAAATACACTGAGAGGGGGACTGAAACACCTGGCTTGCTCAAATAACAGACGAGGGAAAACCACCTCTCACCTTAGCTATAATCTTGCTGTTATTTCATATAAACAGTACATGAATGCTGAACTGCAAACTTCAGGTGGGATCAGACCACCCTGCTGTCTGTAGAAGTGTATCACATAGGATTTTCTTCTGCAAAGGTTTGACAGTCCTGAAGCCAAGTTGTGCCTTCATAGCAAGCTCTGTGGACAGAGGGGTGTGCAGATGCCCAGCCCCGAGAAAACACTGCAGATTAGGCAGTCTTTTCCTCCTCATGCCCTTCATTGCTGAGAAAAAACCAATCTTGTAAGAAAACCTAGTCTCTAATCTGCATATTCTTATAATGGAGAAATTATAGCACAAAATTATTATTATGAGGCATAATTTAGCCATCAAGATGGTGTGTGATGTGCCTGAGTGCACACCTGTGCTGCTCCTTATATATCTGTGTGTAAAAAAAGCAGAATATTTGAGCTCTTTATTTTAATTGCTTCATCACACATCAAAGAATAAAATAAAAAATTTTCTCCAAAGAGAGGAGGAAAAACAGTGAGGTTATCCAGCCAGCTACTTGATGAATGATAGGCTTTGATTAGGAGAAAATGACAAAGGAACAGGGGATTTCATCATGTTGTTTTCTTCGGTCATTTTCCTTCTTTTCACTATTCCTCTGTGGTTTCCCTCCTCCCCTGCCCCCACCAATGGATGTCTGAGGGAAAAGCAGAAATGACAAAGATTGCTGTGCAGAGTTCAGTCTGTTATTCCAAGGGAAAACTTCTTAACATCATTGGCAGAGGATTACTCCTTGTGGTAGAAGAGTGGGCAAGAGCCCCAACTCAAAAATACATTTCCAGGAAAATAATAGTGAGCGGGGAAGAGTTACGCAGCTGCAGCACTGGGAAAGGACAGGCCACTAACTTCTCACTCGCTACAGGCTTCATGTTATTTAAGGTGCTGTATGTGGGGGGTCAGGTCTCTTGCCTGTATGTAGACTTTGGGGGGAAATAGGTGAAATACAACAATATTAAAAGGCCTTTAAAATAAAATAGAAGTGTAAAATTACATCTGTATCCCAAAGGTAAGTTATAAGTCACTTTGCTCTAGTTACAGCAGTTACTAGAGTTGTAGCCCTTAGTTCATTGGCCATCGTTCTTCCCTGTTCTCCAGCTGGCATTTTCTGTCCTGGCTGCCTCTCCCAAACATAAAAAAGATTAGAAAACAATAAGAATAAACAATATGAGCCTCAGCTGGTACAGATTGTCGCCTGGCAATTTACACATTTAGCTTTTCCAAAGATATTAACATATCAGGACTTCTCGAGTAATTGCAAATCATATGCTTAACCATCTCTCTCCTTTGGAAAACCCCAGCTGAAAAGAAATGGACAGGAAAAAGTGCTCTTACCTAGTGTTCCCCACCCTGCCTGCTCCATTATGCCATTTGTAGACTGTTAATAGTTTCAGCTCACCCTATTAGTGGAAATGATATGGAGAAGGGCTCTGTTTCACTTGGGCACAAGTGAAAATGCTGGTATGTCAGGGAAGCCCTGTTGGCTAATTCCGAGTCCATCCCCTTGTCTTATCTGTATGCTCTCTTCCTTAAATAAATGAAGCATCCTGGTGTTCATAGCTTCCTAAGTGTCAACCAGATATTTTCCACTTTTGTGAAACACCTTCATAGACTGGCTAATTTTAAATCCAGAAGGAAGCTTTCTGATCTTGCAAGCTTGCCATTTGTCTGTCACATGCTGTGGAATTTCACCCAGTACTTCACACTACAGAAGGTGACTCTACTGAGTTTTATATTTCAACAACAACTTGTTCAGTGGACTCGGTGTTTCTACCCCAAATCTATTACTGATTAGTATAAAATATTTGTTGCATGATTGTTTGCTATTCAGAATGGTGGGCTATATGTATAGATGTATGCCTGTATATACATATGTACGTATATGCCTTTACACATATATATAAATAAAAGAGAGTGACAGTGGAAGACAGATTTCAAAGGCAAACAACCCTTAGAACAGGCAATGAAATCAGAAAGTTCTCCAAATTTCTTAGAAAATAAAAAATTGAATTTTTGTATGAACTTCTTGAGCTTCTCGGTATTTGCTGCTCCACTGCAAGTAACAACTGCATTTTAAACCCTCAGAGTTACAGTGTTCCCCATCCACAGCAGCAATCCATCTTTTAAGCAAATAAAAGTTTTCCATCATGCCTGCAATCTTACCTGTGGTACATACTGATTTAATTAAAATGACTATATTCTAGAATCATGTTCTTTAAGAATTACATTGGAAAAGATCTTCTGCATAGCAGATTTATCCTGAATGTATATCCAAGACATTTGCAAACAAAATGTTCCCACTGTGTATTGGTTGTATCCTGGGATTTCCAGGACTGCCAAGTAATACCAGAAATGCTTTTGTTTTCCAGATTGTTGGTTTGGGGTTTTCTATGAGCCTCTACTGCCAGATCCAGAGAAAATGAAACTGTGGAAGTGTCAGAACAATGCCACCAGCCAAATCAAAACCTTTGTAGATAGAAGAATATTTGACTTGGCACATTCAGATAAATACATGCATGTCCCAGGCAGCTGCTCTGATGAAAACGGCAGCCCTCATGCACATGGATACTTCACAATTCACAAAATGAAGATTTAATGATGTGAATGTGAATTTTTATTTGCAATAAATGTCTTTGTTTATGTTTCTGAGGAGTTTATTTTTGTCTGAAGACAGCATTTAAGTCACGTTGAAATTCCCAGTTTGCCATGCAATATGTCCACATGGCTGTTACACCACCCAAAGCAGAGTCGCCGTGAACAGCTGCAAATGGTCTTGCAGTAGCTGATGGGTCCGGGGAATCACATGCCCCCAGGCAGCTTTACTTGTGGGACAGGGTGTTTTCGTTATGAGTGTCGCAGGTCAGTCTGACACTCAATATGGTTTATATGGTCAGAGTTTTGTTACTTGTGAGAAGCAGAGGGACTAACGTTTACCCAAATAGGAAAGCCACGTTTTCCTTTCAGGGACATTTAAATCAATATCCTGGCAGCTGAGATGGTCACTCCCAGGCCCAAATGCTGCTTAGGTTGCACAGGAGGTTGGATTTAGTGGCATGTGTTTTGCAAATATACATCAAGGGTGAAATCCAAGCCCATGCAGAGGCAGGACATACACAGAGGTCATGTGGCTGACACTTCACCCAGAGGGGCTAAGATGAGCAGTGGGCTCCCCAGTAGCGGGTGGACAGCAGAGGGAATGGCAGCAACACTAATATAGAGCGTCCCTGCCTTTGGACTGACCAGTGCTTGCAAGCGTGGGGCAGCCCTGACTGTCCCTGCCTAGCCTCTGTGGCTCCCCTCACCCAGGATCCCATGTCGGATCCCTGGGGCCATCAATCCCTGCCCCAGTGATGCCATCATAGAATGAGTCTCCAGCTCCCCATAGCCCTGCCCTGCTTAGCTGGATCCCACCCAGCTGGGCCCACCCAGGGGCCCATGTCCTGGCCTAGGCTCAGCCTGTTCCCATCCCCAGGGAGGTGCCTGATGCCTGGGGATGGGACTACTCAGTGCTGTCCCATCTGTCCTACTCCTGGTTGGGGTAGTGGGATGGGCCCTGGTTGCCAGGTCCTACCTGGCCACCCTAGAGAAGCCTGCATGGTCCTGGACCCCAGGGAACTACTGGTCCCAGCATCTCCCTCACAGGAATTAAATGGCATCAGGGAGAAGATTTTGTAAAGGTATGAAGATGTCTAATGATGCCCACAGGGATCTGCTGGGCTTTTCCAGAGCATGCCAATGGCCTCGCTGCTGTGTATGAGGGCTAGCTGTTTCCACCAGTCCTTCTAGACTCCCATCTTCATCTTTAGGAGCAACTTTAAACACCTTCAGGCTCTTATGAGAAAACCATGTACTGTGCTCTTCAACTCGAAGGCCCCTCAAGTGCCCACGACTGTCTCAAAGCACACCCACACTCTTCCCATCTCAACGGAGTTATGCAGCTGTTGCTTATAAATGCATTAAAAGCTTCCTTTGAGCAGTGACTTTTGCCCATACCTTATACTGTCAGGACTGGGTTCAGGTGAAATTCATCTGCAGCAACTGATTTCTTTCAAAACACATCCAAAGGAGAAGTTTCTGTCCTGTCCCCCAATCTTTCCCTCACACTCAGACCATTAGGTGAAGCAGCAAGAGCTGCTTTCAGAAATCCATCTGTCTCCCAGTAAAGTCATCTAGCTACCAGACAGTTCTGGCACTTGCCCTTTCTTTTGCTGAACCTCAGAAACTGTGCCAGAAGAAGTAAAACTTTGTTAGACCAGAGAAAAAGCATGACTCCATAACCCAGCCATACTCGCTGGAAGGAGAAATGCTCTGTTCTGATTCCTCTTTCTTCCCAGAGTGTTTTTTTTTTCTGTACATATCACCTATGATTTGAAATTCTGGAAGCTGCACTTGAATCATCCAGATCATGGAGTGATCAGCAGTTGGACTCTTGAATTATCACTACAAAAATAAGTTGGAAGTAGAAGTGTGAAACTCAGAGAGAATTCTATCTTCCACATTCTCCTCTTCCTTCCCATGAGAAGGAATGTTCTCTTTGAACAAAGGACCAGAGAGTCTACCATAGATAGGGAACTTAGACCTGTGGATGCCAATTGGATGGACACAAAGGGGAAATTACAGCCAGAATTAACTCAATTCAGGCAGCTGTAAACTTGAGTATTAATACTATGGATTTGTGATAAGTGTCGAATCAAGACTGGCACAAGATTGCCTGGCTTGGACACTAGTCTGGTCCTCTGTGCTACTCTCGGGGGAGATAGATGTATAAAAGCAAGGTGTTAATACATCTAAGCTTTGGTTGTCTACAGTCTAGTTTTGGATATAGCCCTCAAAATAATGTCCTCCTCTGTCAAAATAATGAAATATGGTACTTCTTGACTTTTTTGTTAAAACTGTGGTGTCATTAAAATCAACAGCAAAATATTGTTGTCTTCAGTGAGGAACTTTGACACAGGAATTTCATCTGGAGCTAAGGAGAATAGTTCCTCTGTTTATTTAGGCGATTTGGTTTTATTTCCGAAAGTTCTAAGGATTAAAACTGAAGCACTATGATTATATGCTACCATGACTGTTTAAATGGGATTGAATCAATGAAGCCATTCAGAATATTACCCACTGAAGTGGGTTTGCATCTAAAACATGCCCATTGCCTTTGATGTTGTAATGATGTTGTATTTGCTTGTAATGTCCTGTAGCCTCCAGAAGTAGTCTCCTCCATTTTTCAAAGGGAAGAACAGCATACCAAGTAAAAAACAAAGAGAAATCTTCTTGGATGGGATTCATCTGGGCACATGCAAAACTTGACAGAGTAGAAATTCGTATCATAGAATCATTGAACAGTTTGGGTTGAAAGAGACATTTAAAGATCATCTAATGCACCTTAACCCCCACTCTGTCACACCTGAGATACGTGTTTAGACTCCCCTTATAATCAATGAAGAGAAATAAGCACATTTAGGATTTGAGCTATTTCATTCTAAAATAGATGTCCAAAGCGGTTAGATGAGTCATTTGCATCACAGAAAGCTGAAGTTAGAGTGCACCCTAAAGTACTGAACTTGTTAAAATCAATAGAAGCAATGGTCAGGAAAGAGCATTAGTATAATATTCCACAAGAGTGCATTGATTATTCACTGATTCATTGACCTTTTTGATCAGTCTGCTGGGAAATGTGCCTTGCTTACTCTCTGGGTGAGATTCATCTGTGGTGCAAGAACATCTCTCTCAGAGCCACGATTCTTTAACAGAGATCCCAGCACCACTCCTTCATGGCGTTGTCTTAGTATTCTTATCAGAGAGCATTTTGAGTTAGCAATTGACTCAAAATAACAATGAGACTTTTTTATGAGACCACATCCACTTTTTAATCATGGTGCCTGGAATGGCTGAAATGGAATTTGACAATAAATTCTCAAAAGAACAATAAAACCATAAGGATTTTCTTCTGTGGGGTGTTGGGGAAGATTGTTTTTGGTTTTTTCATAACAATCTCGTCCAATGTTGTGTTCCTCTCAGTGTTACCCAATAAAATCAACCATACAGAGGAAAGACACATGACCAAGACCTCAGTGCTCTGGAATAGCACAGGGAGAAAAGGAATATATAATTATAATTTTAAATACTGTAAGAAAAGAATTGTACAAAGAAAGACAACGCATCACTGCCTTTACTAAAGCACCTGAATTCCGACTTAAAACCAGGTCTATTTAACACAAACTGGCAATTTATCATGTCAAAGCCAAACAACTATTTCATGGCAACAGATAAGACACTGCATCTGGGTCAAGCAATCTCCAAGGAATGATTTCTTATATCATTTGAAGGATTTTGGGGGAACGTGTTGTTCTCAGAAGGGATTGCATTTGAGGGAAAAAAATACAGAATGAATAGAAAAAGAAAGAAGTTATAGTTTATGCTAAAACACGAGTCACTAAAGCAATGCCAAGAATGCCATAAACAATGAAGTGAGCATTGATAAGTCTGTTACTGGAAATGAAAAAAAAAATCAAAGGAAAAGACAGAGACAGATAGGCAAACAAAAAAGAAATCTGATTTTGAAAAATGAAAGAAAAAGGAAGCCAAAAAGGACAGGTCAAATTGAAAGAAAAAATGTAAAGATATTCAGTTTATCAAGATCCAAAGGTTTGCTGCTCTCAGCTCAGCGTGAGGAGAACTTGGCCCAGATCCACCTTTGTGTCCTGGATGTCATGCTGAAAGCTAGTTCATGCAATGCCAAATCTGCCCCAAATTTTGCTGGCTGTCAGGGTCCCTAAGAAGACCGTGTCACTCCTGGAGCGCATCAGAGTCGAGTGAGTAGACAAAGGGTACCCCAAGAGGCAACTTTGCCAATTACATGGTCCCTGGGAATGCCTGGAGAATGAGCCTGAGGAGACAGAACCACTGGCTTTCCCTCCCGGAATGATACCAAGGCACTACAGATCTGGCCTAAGTATGTTTAGCAAGATGATTAAGTGAGGCAGCAGGGTTTATTTTTAAATTAAGATGGAGGATTATCAGTTTAAATTCTGAAATAGGACTGAAAACACAAAATTAAAAGCCAGTTCTTTGGCTCAACTCTCTGACCTGTCCTGACTGCTTAGCCAAAGGTTTTCTGGCATGGGAGAAACTCAGCTGATTTAGGTTGGATTCAACCTTCCTTAGCTGAGGAGATATTTGACTTTGGGTTGTCTGGGTCAGCCAGTTATAGAGCAAATACGTAATGCTGCTCCAGGCCACAACCAAAACCTTCCCCTGTAAAGGTTCAGGCTGGGGAAGCTGCCTGGATACCATTTCTCCAGGAGGGAACCGAGCTGTACCCATCTGGGGAGATGTTACATTAGGATTTCATTCAAGGACCAAAGGGAGGCTTGGATCTCTCCTGCCTTTATCCGTGGCAATTTGATTATTCTTGATAATTATGTAT